TAACCTGTCTAGATCCGCTTGCAGCCTGTTCCTTCCTACTAGCGTACCCACTTCACCCCACATCTTAGTGTCATCTGCGAATTTGAACAGGGTGCTTTCTACCCCCTCGCCCAAGTCACTGATGAAGATGTTGAATAGTGTGGGCCCGAAGACCAAGCCCTGGGGAACCCCACTGCCCACATCCCTCCAGGTCAAATAAGACCCATCCACCACCACCCTCTGGGTGCGGCCCTCCAGCCAGTTAGTGACCCATCTGACTGTGTAGAAATCAACAGCACTGTCTCCTAGTTTCTTACTGAGAATGGGGTGAGAGACCGTATCGAAGGCCTTCCTGAAGTCCAGAAAGACTATATCCACTGCGACACCCGCATCCAAGCACTTGGTGACCTGGTCATAGAAGGCCACCAGGTTGGTTTGACAAGACCTGCCCCTAATGAACCCATGCTGGTTGCCCCTGAGCATAACCTCCCCTGCTGGCCCTTCCTGGACATGTGCCAGGATAATTCTTTCGAAAAGCTTCCCCAGGACCAAGGTAAGACTCACAAGCCTATAGTTTCCTGGGTCCTCCTTCCTCCCTTTTTTGAAGATGGGGACCACATTGGCCCTTTTCCAGTCCTCTGGCACATCGCCCGAGCGCCATGAGTGCTCGTAGAGCTGTGCCAGAGGTCCCGCAATGACCCCTGCTATTCCTTCAGCACTCTGGGGTGGAGATCATCAGGACCTGCGGATTTAAATCCATCTAGTCCCTCCACAAGTTCCTTGGCAAGGTCTTCATTAACTCTAGGCCTATGTGTGCCACCCCAGTTAAGTTCATTATGTTCTTATGAACTTAAGGTTCACCAGTACAGGGGGCCCTACATGGATTGCAAAGAGCACCCCATTCTTCCCCATGATATTCTATTAGAAACAGCTAAAATCCTCCAAACCAGTGGTTTGTTTCAAAGTCATTCATTATGTCGGTTCCTCCTCATGCCCCTGTCTACATTATCCTCCTGATTTCTTCTTGTAGACTTGAAGGCAGACATGCTGTGATGACTAATACAATGGGTGTAGTTATACAGACAGAAAAGGAGTACGTTAATAAATATCCTGGAGAACTGCAAGCTACCAACAAGAAATATTTACAGTCATCATTATTTGTAGCTATACTGCACAGTGTATTATAACTTCAACTTATGGCTACAAAACCTTTATTAATCCAAGGGGTACAAACAATTCCAAAAGCACACCACCGTGTGGGTCATTTTTCTTACAGCCGTTACATGCAACATCTAAGACTCTCACAAAAAGAAAAAAATCTCTGTGCCTGAGTTTGCTGGGCTTGCCCTTGAGAACACTTTATGTATGAACAACTTCACCATTCACCCTTCCTCCTCAGTTTTGTCTGTTTGTGGGTCTATCACAGGTTTAAAATGTAATTCTTTCACGTCCCTTTATAAATTATAAGGAAGCATAATGGATGACCAGGCCTGTGAGGCAGAAATTCTTGAGGTTTAACCCTGAATGCACCACTGACCTGCTTCGTTATTTTAAACAATTCCCTTAACCTCTCTGTATCTCAGTTTGCAAACCAATACAATGGGCTTTGTTATACTTACAGACCCCAGAGGACGCTGAGAGGATTAACTCACTAAAGTTCAAGCAGCACTATAAAGTTGGAAAGATGAATATGAAATACAGTACCACTGCTAGGTATCATGAGAGTTACAACTAGGGTTACAGATACCTTTCATTCCAAGAAAATAAGATATGCAATAATTTGTGCCGATGAAACAATGGGGTTTGTGAACTGAATGGATTGTGTGCGACTTTGGGGATTGAGGCAGACCCCTGAGCTGGACAGAAAGTAGGTTACTTCTCTCAGAAGTTTGCAAGACCCCTTTAAATTCCTTTCAGCAGCAGCTGCCAACCCTAGTTCTCAGGAAAGATACGAAGGGTTATGTGCCTCCTGCTTCCCATGGGTTATCTCTACCAAGTTGACGGACTCGTAACTCAAAAAGCCAGAATCCTCAGATGAATTACGTGCAGCCTCTTATGTGAGTGGGATGGAGCCATAATTCAAAGCTGACCATCTCATGTTTATGTAGAGCCATTCTCAAGTCAAGATTTATTTCATATCATGGAAGAAACAACCTATTAGTCACCTCCATCTAGGTTCTTCGACAACACTAAGTGATAATTCCCATAACTTTGAGCTTTGTTTTTAAACAACTTCAATTAAGCTCTGAAAATCCCTTGATAAATTACAGCACAAATTCCTTGCTGGACATGGGGAAAGACAAATTAGCTTCATGTGTTGTTCAGTGGACTAAATGATGTATTTGTAACATGACATACCTGGATCTAAGTTATATTGTTTAAGGAGCCTGAAGACCAGCTTGCTCAACATTTTGTGGTTAAATTTATCTGGTCTGTAGTTGAGCAAACCTTGATACTGCCTGTAAGCAACAAATAAAACAAAAAGCAAAGTGTCATTATAAGTGGATAAGATACTTGCCCCTCTTAACAGTAAAACCTGACCATCAGTACCGTTCCTGTACCATTTCCTGATCCATCTGGGAATTCCTAACCAGAGAGGCTACAGTATTCCCAAACTGGACTTCCAAGGCACAATCAGACTGCAGCAAAATCTATGGCAGATTTCAAGGGATGTGTTGCTCCCTATATCATTTAGCAGCAAATATTTGTGCCTTCATTCTCCTATTCAAAGGCTTTTAGGAGTTTGCCTCAGCAACTTAAAAGTACCTGGTTTTCCACAACCCTGTTGGGGCTTTTTCTACTTTGTACTATCATTGTACCTACTGCACCTATACAGTTACTTTGATTATACTGCTGTGTCTGTACTTGGCAGGAGCTTGCTGATAAATCGTGATTTAGAAATGACAAACAAGCATGAAGGTTTGACTGGAAAAAGAATGATTTGTCTTGCATTTTTCTTGTTGGTTGCTGTTGCTTTATGGGAATATCTCACTGCTAGACCCACACAACAAATACTTCCCATCTTCCACAGCAGCAGAATCAGGTTATTAAGGCTTCCTGGAAAAAGCTTTGTTTTCAACAGGTATTACTGAGACTGACTGCAATGTCTTTGTTTATAGCTTCTCCAGGGAAAGGAACTAAGCACCATCCCCTAGTATTAACATCAACATGAGTGATATAGTCTCAGCACTTGATAGTATAGCTTTGAGAAGACAAAAACTTCAGTTACTAGAATTTTCCCCTTCTTAAATGATAAAAAACAGACTTCATTCAGCAACTTAATACATGGCCTTCAAATACTATAAGAAAACAAATCTAGAGAGTATACAAAGAGATCATATTATCTTTTCCTGATGGCCACTTAGCACCTGTCTGGAATGTCATCTAACATTTCATGCTGTTTGGAAATTAAAGGGGTAACAGGGAAAACAAAATAATATTTTACCTTGCAATGTCTTTAATATTAAAACTGGGTTCACGCCACGCATCCAGGATCTGTAAAAGTTTGCACTGAAGATTGGGGTCTTCTGCTACATAAGCCTCCACTAAGTTAGTTTTATCTTGAAGCAGCAGTGGAGTGCACATCTATGAAGAAAACCAACATACAGCACAGGAAGTGCATTACAGAAACTGCATTGCTGCATATTGCTCCCCACACTGAACTGGCTCAACTGCAATGGCTAGAGCAGTGTGAAGGCAAGGCCATGGTTCTATCCCAACCAGCCCACATGGCTAGAAAGGGAAAAGTAGCCCCAAAGAGGCTGTTGCCTGCAATTTTACTGCCCAGAAGGCAGATTGTTAGACTTATGGCCCCACACACTGGCTCAGGATGAGCCCCAGTATGGCCCACCCGCTTTTTCAGTGATGTCTTTAAGTGCCCAAGGGAAATGTCTTTAAATCAAACAACATAAGAAAAATGCTTCTATGTTAGCATGTATCTAAGGAGAATGTCTTGCATAATTTTTCAACACAAATACCAGCCATAATACTATAAAGCTTCAGCCTGAGAAATTATTAAATCCAGGTCATATCTAACCATAACCTGGAGGGTGAATCCCCATAATTATAATCTTCCTACATGCATTATCCTGGAACAGCTAGAGCAGGGAAGAATTTGGCACTATTTTTATTTAGTTAGTTTTATTATAGCTAAAACCATTTGCCAAACTGAATGAACACAGCTGGATTTCAGATCCCAGTGGTGGAAAAGTTCTTCTGAGTTGTAATATGGTATAAAAAAATATGCTAGTCCCTTAACAGCTGTACCATTGTGTTACCACCTTACTAGCAATTTCTTGCAAATGAGATAAAGGTTTATAATTTGATATATAATTCCCACTTTTGCCGAAGATTCACCTCATGAGGCTCATTAAACGGGGTGAGGCCTTGATTGATCTTGTTTACCGATGGATAGATCTAATGACAGAGAAGTCTATGCCGGAAATACTTACCTTCTCCAAGTCTTGATCCTGCTGCAATCTTAGCTTTATGCTCAGAATGACTGCCTAGAAAATACAAAGGTATACAAGACTTGTGAGCTTCTAAGAAAATACACAGTTAGGAAGCGAGGAACATTTCTGATAAGCAGATATGTTTCTGAAGTCAAATATGTTATATACCTACTTTTCATAGAATTCTTTTTCTTACAATCCTTGTAACATGCTGCTTAAATGCACTTGGCTGCACAAATATTATTTAGAGGACCCTATAAACACTATTGGTGACATTACATATTCTAAACCTCAAAAGGAAAAGTTATGAGATCAAGCAAGCTACTAAAAATTTTAAAGAGAAAAGGCAGTCTCTGGACAAATGTTCGGAAAAGACTCAATGGCAGGAATTTACTTCTAAAAACTGAGCAAAAATTATACTGGTAAATTAGCCGGGCACAAATCTTGCTGCCTTTTGCATTTTGCAACCTAGTTATATTTTGTGAAAGCATCACATTTTTTAATCTAAATAAATATCAACACATTCTCTTCTAAACATTAACATTTAGCTCCCCTTGTCCCAGATGTTATATGTTTTATTCATCATGAATGATGGGACGTATTTGCCCCGTTAGGTACTCTAATGAACCTTGCAACATACCCGAGGGAGGTAAGAATCAGGAACTTAATTTGGCAAATGAGGAAACTGAGGCACAGAATGGTGTAGGGGTGTGCCAAAGGCAGAGGCCTAACAGGACTCTGCTAGGCCTGTGAGAAATGGAAAGTATTCAAGTCGGATTCGGCTGATTTAGAGTGATTTGATTTGGAGATTCAGATCACTGTCCCAAATCAAGTCAGCTGAATTGGCTTCGGAAGATTCAGCGCTGATTTGGAGAAATTCGGTCATTTGGCCGTAGACTATAATGGGGAATCACTGAAATACTTATACTTAGTCATTTTTTGTCAGCTTCGGAATAAAACAGCAGAGATAGTAGCCCCTTCTGAGGGCATGAAGCCTGCCAAGTTTCAAGGAAATAGGTGCAGGGGTTTCTGGGAATTACACCTCAAACTGCTGAAACCAAAACTCGTGGGGGGGGGGGGGGGGAGGGCAACCCGGTGGGGGGGGGGGGGGTGATGGCAGATTTGGATTCAAACAGCAGGGATGGTAGCCCCTTCTGAGGGCTTGAGACCTACCAAGGAGACAGGTGCAGGGGTTTCTGAGAAACTGCACCTTAAGGTGCTGACAAGCAAAACTTGTGACATGTGTGATTGTGTGTGTTAGGGCAGAGCGGGGTGAAACCAGTAGGGATGGTAACCTGTAACAGGGGGCCTTCCAGGTGCTCAGGAAGAAACAGCTCACAAAAGGAGCAGAAAGGCTGTAGACAGAGGCTTATGTGCTGTTTTGACATCCCTCCCCTAGAGCACTGTGATTGGAAGGGGACTCAGGGAAAGAACACAGTCGCTGACCAGCTACAGATGTCAGTCTTTCCCCACAGCTGCTTCTCCCTATTCTCAGTTTCTATTCCCCTGAAAGACTGCCTTCTGAATCTCTGAATCTTTTTCTGAATAGATTCAGAGGGTTGTTTTGGTCTCCTGATTCAATTTTTATTTGGTGATTCGCCCTCTGAATCGGGTCAAACCTTCTTTGAATCGAATCGGTGACCGAAGCTTCGCATACCCCTAGACTCTGCCCTGGGCAGCAGCAATGTATAGTAGAGCCCTGGTGGCTGGGGAAAGCAGCTGTTTTCACGCTCCCCGCTCCTCCCCACAAAGGCAGTGCCATGGCTCTCCCCGAATGGCCCCCATCTGTTATGCTACTAGGCAGGGGTCACATAGGCAGTCAATCACAAAGCCAGAAATAGAACCTGGAGCTTCAGCATGCCTATCATGCTCCCATTGTAACCACATGTATACACACTCAACTTCTTTTACCACTTCCTTTAGGGCAAGGGTGGCAAAATTTGGCCCATGGGCCAGATCCAGCCTGCAGCTGCCCCTGCAGCACTCCACAATGAGGCCAAGCCCTGCCCAATCACGTCAGAGCATCCTGCACTGGGCTCTCTCCAGCCCAGGACCTACAGCCTGGCTCCGGCCAGTGCGTGCAGCTTCTGGCAGGGCTATTCCCAGTACAGCTGCAGCCAGGTGCTTCTCTGCTCCTTCCCCCCCACCCCTCCAGCAGCAGCTCCTGCTCCTGATCTTGCCTTTGCCATGCTGCAACACACCGCTCTGACTGAGCAGCTTTAGCCAGGCAACTCCTGTCCCAGCACACAGTGCTCTGGCTCCAGCTCCTTGCTGCCTTCAACTAAAAGGTGGCTGGGAGCTGAAGACAGAGCCCTGCACACTGAGGCAAGAGCCACCTGGCTGAAGTTGCCTACCCCCACCAGGAGCAGCGTGGCACAGCGTGGCAGGGGCTGAACCAGGAGCAGGAGCCACTGCCGGAGGCAGAGGGAGCATAGCAGCACCTGGCCAGCTGCAACCACCTCAGGAACAGCCCCATTGGAAGCTGCTTGGCACAGTTCAGCAGAGCCAGGAGCACAAGCTGTCATTGGAAGGGGAGGGGGGCAGAATAGCACGCAGTTGGGCAGGGCTGTGGGCACCAGAGGAAGCATGGCATGGGCTGCTCCTGGCAGGTGGGACTCAGCCCCATGAGGAGTGCTGTGGGAGCAGCATGGACTGGACTCCCCACGTGAGCTCTGTTGTACGCACTCCCTGCCCGCATCCCCATGGGGGGTTTGGTGAGTTGCCCAGCCTGTGAGATCAGCAAAACTCCCCATGTGCCCTCGGGCCCAAATAATTGCCCACCCCTGCTTTATGGGCTACTCCCCTCCTATTTCAGTGATACAGAACCATAAATATCCATTTTATTAAGCAAATGCTCATTAATTATGATCCAACACACAAAGTCATTGCTTTATTAGCATATGAGGCTCTTGAAGATTCTGATTCAGCATATAAACATGTGTTCAAGTCCATTCCCTTCCATGCCAAGCCCTTAAGTATGGACTTATGTCCCAATAAGTATGAATTAAGCACATGCTTAAAGCGATTTGATGAATCAGGGCCCAAATATTCGTCTTAGTTTTATCACTACCAGAGTTGGAAACAAACAAACAGAAGGCTCTACTGCAGGGTGTATTTACACAGCCTGGGCCTTTGAATAGAAAAGACAACTTCAGATTATATCAGCATGTTTACAATATGAATAATAAAAGGAGAGATAAGCTCAACTAAACTAAAAATGAAAGTGTCTTGGCTGCTATATCTGTGGTCCCATTTCTAAAGTTATTTTTACATTTATTTTGTTATTGTCATGTCCTAAATTGTTCAACTCCATAAACAAGTTTTCTGTAAAATGACCCCATTTTAATGGTCTGTTTATACAGGATAAGATCTCCAGAAAAGCAACACCTCATTCATGGACTCATTTTGCTGTCAGATAACAAATACTTTAACTATGCAGACAACATGCTTTAGCTGAAATGTTAAGAAACAAACACCAATAATAAGGGTGTGTTTCCCCACTACACAGCTCTGCATGCTCCACCTGGGAGTAAGAAACTGGAAACCAGCAATCATTTTCATTTACTAGTAAAAGCCCTCAGATTAAAACAAGGCCAGCAAGGCAATAAAATACCAAATCCTAGATGCCTTCACCACTTCTCCCACAGATAAGCAAGGTCACAAAACTGCCTTTAAATTTCTCCCCTTGACACACTATCCAGGAATCCTAGATGACTTTTATGGTCTCTGTGAACAAGTCATTATATTAACTGAGCCTCCATCTCCACCTTCAAAACAACCTAACCCCATGCAAAAATGTTTCCTATAGCCAGAATAGCAGCATGAACTGCTTTTTCTGCTGTAATTAATAAATTCCATATACAGAGTTTTCCCAGTATGCATAAAAATAACAGCAAAGAAATAACATATACAAACATGACCTACATTAATCCCCCTCCCCCTTGTTCACTTCCAAAGCTGATCAAAATAGAAGCATGGGAAAGGTTTGTGCCTTCCTCCCTTTCACTTCCCAGGCCCATGGAAGGGCAGGTACGTGATGAAGGCTGTGTTCTGACAAATGGTACCCAATATGGAAAAAAGGCTAATAGAGTAGGAAAAGGAGATGATCTGTGGTATGATCCGAAGTCCCTGTGAAAATAGCGAGGCTTTTCATTGTCCTCAATGAAAAGAATAAATAGTTATCAGAATGAAAAACGGTATGTGGACTGCACTATTTGCACCGGGCAGAGATGCCCTTTATAGGAGTTTGACTAGGAGAATCTCACACCGAAATGCCCATCACAGCAACAGAATAGATGACAGTTCATCTAAAGCATCATCCCTAAAACATAGGTGTCTTTCTGCATTGCAGGAGGAGGCTCAGGGAATGGAAAATATCACAGAGCCAGGTCCAGCCAGGTCTGAAATTTTAAGATCTGGTACTGCCATCCTGAATTAGATAGAAAACACATGTGAAGAGAGGTGGCTGACCAACCTGCAAGTTGAAATGCTGCAGCACTCTGAACAAGCTGCATGTGATGGGGCCATCTGCTGAATAAGGAATCCCAATGACAGTCCGAAATCATGGGAATAGCAAGATAGCAAAGCTGAGTCTCCTTGGAGAAGCTTTCAATACCCTGCCCCACCAATTGCTCTTTAACTATCTGTTTTGAATACCTCTACATGCAAAACCTACAATACCAAAAATTTATCAGGCATTCACCAAATTTGGCCTGCAATGTGGGAAACCACACAAGATTTCCTACCTGCATGTGCACTGAGAACCTTAGGCAATTTTCTCACTGTTGCAGTAACACGATTACAGCTCCACTGCTCCTACTGATGGTGGGAGAAAAAATGTAGTCTACAAACTTAGACCACTATGTCACTAGCTATGCTCTGAGTAAACTTGGACCACAAGGGATTAAATGCGACTCTGTCTGGTCTATAGCAGCCTTTCCAGAACTAAGTCAATAGTGGAAGAATTTCTCAAACCCCTTTATGAGGACAAGACCAGAAATACAACTTTGGCATACCTCTTGCATGGACCTCAGAGCATGCAGTATATTTATGAG